CCTAACCCTAATCCCAAGGGGCTAGGGTTTAACCCTAACTTTATTAGCATTTTAACCCTAACCCTAACCCTAAGAACAATAGAACAATAGCCCTAACCCTAACCCTAACAATAGCCTGAAACAATAGCGGCGGCGGCATCCTTTGAAGGCTAAACAGGCCAGGAATACTACTAACATCTACCCGATGTTGAGGGATAAAATATGGAGGGAGAAGAGTCAGAAGAAGAAGAGTCAGTTGACAGGACTCATAGTGCAGTCACATTCCAGAAGATTGATGGCAAATTTAAGAGAATATTCGATAAACTAACGGACAAAATGTGGCGCACAAACCAATCAGTTGATGCAGCAGCTGCTATTGAGTTTAAGCAGTACCTGCACACCAACCGTGAACTCTGGGAGAATGCTAGAGACCATCATGGATGCACAGTGATGCATCATGCTGTTCAGAATGGGAATTTAGCCTTGTTACAAACTCTTATTGATGCAGGAGTGAACCCCAATGTAAAGGAGAGGTGTGGTGCTACAGCACTGACATTGGCAGTCATAAAAGGACAAGAAGAAATGGTGAAACTGCTACTTGACAATTTCGCTATTTGCCATACTGCATACTTCTCTTCAGTGCCAGGACCAAAGCAGATTGCAGATAAGTTGGGATTGGATAGTATTAGCACTCTAATTCAAAGTTGTTTGGCTCAGGAGAACGAACAAGATCTTGCAGTTTGGGAGATGACCGAACTGTCAACAACAGAGCCTCGTGTTGTTGATAACTTGCCTGGACCAGATGATGCAGACCCAGTGTATTGCAGGCATATCATGAATTGGAAAACACTTGTTGTTGGTGATCAGGGAACAAACAAGATAATCAGAAGGGTGAAGGAAAAATCCTCTTCAGCTTATGGATGGGCTGCAGAGGTTCCTGGAGATTTACATGCTAGAGGTGAGGCACAAACTCTATAACTACACCATTTGAACTGCCCCTAGTTGTCTCCTGCAAGTCAAAAAAGTGACTATTTATAGAAAATAATGGTTAAATTTCTGTGATGGTTTCTATAATCCTTTGCCTCTCAAATAGCTTTCATTAACTGTCACTTGCATAATACCCACGTATGAGCCCTAAATATTTGGTCATTCTACATAAGTTTTTTTACCAGGCCCAAAGGTGACCATGGTAGTTGGACAGTTTTGTAATTCTAGTTTCCCTGTTGAATGCATAGTGAGATGTAGCCAAGCCTCTTTATGAAACAGAGGTTTGAGTTGACCTTAAGATCAGTTAATAATAATAATTGATATATTATGAAAAGCAGCAAGACTTTGTATTAAAACAAAATCAACTCTTGCCCTCTTGTGCACAAAGGCCTGGTTTCTCACTGCACTGTAAACTATACTATTGTGTTGCACAAAATGACATAATACATAATCAAGACACATAGGAAAAGGGTGAATAGGAGACAGTTGGATATTTATTCAATTAAGTACAGTAGTATCAACATTAACTGTTGCATGTTTTCCTTTTTTTATCCTGAGGTTATCTCTATGAAGTTTGCCAAAAACCCTTGGGCCTGGGGGATTCATGTGTGTTGTACAGATTGTTATGAAGCGAGAGAAGTAACTGATGATGCATTTGGCGACAAAAAGTTCCAGCACCAAAACCTGAACAGAATTGATGAAGCAGTGCGAGACGTGTCAATGGCCTATGGACTTGCTGCAGTGCAGAGCTTTAAAGCAAGTGAACTGTTTCCTACTCAAGCCTCACTTGATGCACATAAAAAGGCTAATGGAAACCATCATGACTTGTTGTTGAGTTCTTTCAACAAATGGATTGAATGCCAGAGCAGGAAAGTTCAGTTTCGTTATCAAAGCCAGCTATTTACCCTCTTTGGTCCCCTAAGAGAATTGTACCTTTCATATGTGAAGTTTGGTGATGGTGTTGCCCTTGAAGCTGTTTGGATGTTGATGCTACCATTATTTGCCCAGCTGCAAAAACGTAATTACTGGACAGAAGCTTTCGCACATGTTGTGAACCTTACTGCAGCATGGCCTATTGTTACACGGAAGCTGATGCAAAACAATTGTTCTGTCAGCATAAAAGGAAGAGAAGGACATAAGATTGCCCTTGATGAATGGGTGGAACCATACCTGGTGCAACCTCTGAAGAATTATGCAACAGGTAAGCTGCTACTGACAAAAACAAATGTTGCCCGATATTGATTCCTAAGTAATTTAACGAGGGTGGTGAGGGGGGGTTACCCATAAGAGTTACGTGTACCAATTCTTTCTGAAAAGTTGTTCTTGGCAGCATACATTTTGTTGTTTAGTACCCTAAAAGGCATAAGGGTAACTGTAACAGTGGTCATTTTTTACTCCAACACCCTTTGTTACTGAACTGCGAATTTTAAACCCTTAAATAGGTATGGTAATCTTTGTGTGTGCATTATATCTTTAAACCCTCAACCCAACTTTTTCTTTATTGATATGTTTAGGACATTCAGGTGTGGAAGTCCTCAAGTTGCTTACAGTGAACTTGGATGCGCTTGGGGCAATACGAAATGCTTACGGAGGTCGGGAGGCTTTTAATGTTAATTTGACAAGCCGCCATAGTGAGCAGAGCCCATTTCCGGACCAACTAAAAGGAATGTGGTTTTGTTTGAAACAAAAGTTCTTTGAGCCTCCTGAGGACCAGGATTTCATCCCAAAGCTCTCTTACAAGGGTGAAGAAATTGGCAGGGTTTCTACCACACTGGTCATGTGTATGAGAAAGGAAAAGACAACGTAGCTCAAAACTTTGGCTGCAAATTATTCAACACTTTTCACATTCTACTAGTCAACCATGAGCTGCACGGGGGAAGTAGAAGAAGAGCAATTGAACCTGACCATAACCCTTATATTCCAACAGTCAAAAAAAAAAAATGAAACAATATATTTTTGTAAAATACTGCACTAAAAAGCATCATAGTAAAGTTCAATAACTATTTTTACACCAGGGTTTAAGTGAAAGGGTTAAGGCACAGTTCATTTTTCATGATGATGACTGGGTCGGTAAAAAGTGACTGGGCCATAGACATGTTTTGCTTTGTTTGGCGTTTAATTTTTTTTTCTTTTTGCCCAAAATGAACAGCCTTTGAAAAATTAATGATGCATCTAGATAGGCTTTGAATTTCTGACATGATTATACGACATTTTTTTTTCGAAAAAAAGAAAAAACAAACAGGACAAACTGCATATTACCCGAACCGGTCATCCCCCAAAATAATGAACCGTCCCTCAGGTACATTGTACATGGTTACATGACAGAATACATGTCAGTACCCTCCTTGGAGCCTTCAATAAATTATTTCCTTATTGCAATTTATTATTACAAGTACAGGAATTTCTTACATGTTTTTTTCCGGTGTCTACCACCATCAAACATAATGTCATTATCTTTTATTGTACAAGCAGAAACAGACAGAAACACAAATTCAACCAACTAATTCTCTCAACTAGTGCATTGTAAAGAGATTAGTTTAATTTTGTTAGGGCCTGAATGGTTCAGCTGGCCTAGCCCTGATGTGAAAGATACATGTATCAAGTTGTAACTATTTTCCATAATAAAGGAAAGTTAGCTCACCGTTTGTAAGTCTGGAAGCATTTATTCCTCTAAGTATGGTGTTGTGCTGTTCTCATTTGCAGAGGGTAGTTGTTCATGCACAATGTTTTTAATGATCAAGCACTGTATGAACTTCAGTAATCCTTTCTCGCTAAACTTGTTTTTGCCCTTGCCATACTCGTTGACATTCTCTAAGCCTTTTGAAATAACAGCATTTGACTTTGATCCATGGAATGTTAATACCAACAACTTTGTTGTCACTTTTGGCTGTAGCTGCCGCATAGAATCGACACAGTTTAAAATTTGAATAGCATCATCACTGAAGTCTATGGGATGTTCCAAATTACCACTTGAACAAATGTCACATGACTTGTCACAGTTTATTCCAGCCCCACCATCACCAAAATAAGATGCGATCTGTTGCCTTCTACAAACTGGGATAATACAGTACTTGACCATATCATTCAGACCGTTCAAGGACACCCATTTGCGATCCCCATCTGGTAGCGATGAGATATTGGGCAAGTGTTTTGTTCTTTCTTCAAACCTAAAGAAGATATAACAGTGCGCATCATTGCAATCTCTTCCCGCCCGACCGTATTCTTGAACGTAACTTTCCAAATCCTTGGGCATACTGTGGTGTACGACAAATCTTACATCAGGTTTGTTAATGCCCATCCCAAATGCAACAGTTGCATAAATGAAATGCGCAGCACCCAACTTCCATGATTCCACAGTTTCTTGTTTTGATTTAACATCCATCCCAGCATGAAAAAATACAGCATTAACACCTGCTGTTTTCAAATGATAGGCAATATCAATGGTGTCTTTTCTTTCTACACAGTAGATAATGTCACACTGTTCTGGGAATTCCTTTTTGACAAGTGACACAATTGCCTCTTTGCCATCTGCTTTCTTTGCCACCACATGGAAAAGAAGATTTGGGCGGTTTGAAGGCTGTCTGATGACCTTGGTCTCTTCTAGAGAGAGTCTTAAACTATTCAAAATCACCTGCTCAGTTCGTCATGTCGCTGTTCCTGTCAGGGCAAAAATGGGACACCCAGATGTCTGCAGCTTCGAAAGCTCTGAATAGCTTGGGCGGAAATGGAAGCCCCAGGTGTCAATGCAATGGGCTTCATCAATTACATTTTTTTAATTAATTTGAAAGGCTCCTGTCAAAAACATTGTTGAGTTTTTCTCGACCTCAATTGTGCCAAAGACCACAACGTTTTTCTTTCAACATGAGTCCTCCTCAGCGATCTTCAAAAGCGTAACGTATTTCTCTTTCTGCTTCATCCATGTCTGACATAAAGAAACAAAAATTTAAACCTTGTGATCGCATCCTTTCCACTTGATCAAGCAACAATGCAAGCAGGGGAAATATTACCACAGTTACTTTGGGCTTCATTAGCGCAGGCACTGCATAGCAGATGGTTTTACCACTCCCAGTTGGCATAATAAGCAAAGTATTTTGTCCATTTGAAATTGACTCCACTGCCTCCCTTTGGCAACCTCTGAAATCAGGAAGGTGAAAGACACCTCTTAAAATTCAATGGCCTTGTCGCCTGTAAGTGCAATGTGCTCTCCATCAACAGTAACAGGTACTGTCCAATCCTGAAGGGGGGTCACTGAAAGGTCGTAAAAAAAAAAACAGTTTATGTCAACTACAATTTACCAGGATGTCTACTTCAGGAATGATTGGTGGGTGACTCATAGGACTAGTAGGGCAGATTTTGTTGGGATCACATGATGAATATCAGCCCATTGAAATGGTGAAAACTTTCTTCAAGTTAAAAGTCATGAACAAACTTCAGATACAAGAGAAATATTACTGAAATATTTCCATAAAGGTGAACTTTTGATTATTCAAAAGCATCAATGGTAATGTTATTTATATTCATTATAAGGTATGATGTAAGCATCTTACTTACAATTTTAACAAAAATAGCCTCTGTAATTATAACTGTTATCTGTCTCTCACGGACATTCTTTTTTGAGTGCCATGCATTGAAACGGGCACAGAGACCAGGCTTGTTGACTTAGTTAGGCGACGAGTGGACAGCCATTCTACGTGATTTTTGGTCTCCTCGCCGTGCTTAAATCTAAACAGTCGCCACGCTTCTCGCTCGAATTTTTCATCACATTTCACTCCCGCGTGCTTCACTCTAACATGCTGAACTAGCCTCGTTTCCTCGAAAACTGCTCGACCGAGCTCGGCTCTACAAAGAATATGAGAGCAAGGTAACTTGCGACTCAAATAGGCCCAATGGAACGGCCTATTTTCCTCCTTCCCATCACCCCTCGCGCTTCTCTCCTTTCTCAAGAGAGACGACTGGGGAAGAGTCAGACACTGGACTGCATAAGGGCACAAAAATGCGGACAGAAAAGGACGAATAAGGAAATAAGGAAAGCACACGGGTAATAAGGAAAAACAAAACAAGACTACAAAGGAGATAAAAGGACTAGTGACGACAGAAAAGGACTGGCTAGAACCGAAAAGGACTAGTAAGGACAGAAAAGGACGAGTTAGGACACTAAAGGACTAGTAAGGACGGAAAAGGACTAGTAAGAAAAGAAAAGGACTTAAGGACATAAAAGGACTAGATAGGACAGAAGAGGACTAAAGGACTAGTCAAGACAGAAAATGACTAGTAAGGACGGGAAAGGACTAGTAAGGACAGAAAAGGACTAATAAGAACAGAAATGGACTAATGAGGACGTAAAAGGACGTAAAAGGACCAGTAAGGACAGAAAAGGATTAGTAAAGACAGAAAAGGACCAATAAGGACAGAAATGGACTAATGAGGACATAAAAGAACGGAAAGGGACTAGTGAGGACAGAAAAGGACTAGTAAGGACGGGAAAAGACTACTAAGGACGCAAAAGGACAAATAAGGCCAGAAATGGACTAATGAGGACATAAAAGGACGGAAAAGGACTAGTAAAGACAGAAAAGGACTTATAAGGATGGGAAAGGACTAGTACGGACACAGTACTTTAATGAGTTCTTTGTTAATATCAGTGACCAACTTACAAAGAATTTAGAACCTCTTGATCCAAACACCTTAACTTCTTATGTAACAAGAGTCACTCCTACAAGATGCGACATAGAGTTAAATTGGGAGCTAGTGAAGAAGAAAATTGAAAAATCATCAAACCCGAATAAAGCTACTGGACTGGACCTAGTCTCACCCAAGGACCTTAAACTCCTTGGGGAATCTTCTATCCATAGCCTGCTGCCAGTTTTCAAGAAAAGTATAGATGATGCAGTTTTTCCAACAAACCGGAAACTCTCACGTGTTAAGCCAGTATTTAAAAAGGGAGCACCCACTGATATGAGCAACTTGAGGCCCATATCTCTCTTAAGTATCCCAGGAAAGATTCTTGAAGATATTATAAGCAACAGCATAGACAATCACATTGAAGCTCAGAGCCTGCTTAGTGACAATCAATGGGGCTTTCGCAAGAATCATTCTACAGAGGGTCTCCTTCTTCATCTTACTGACACTTGGAAGTGGGCCCTAGATAATAATCTTAAAGTTGGTGTTCTGTTTATTGACTTCAGGAAGGCCTTTGACTCGGTGAACCATACCATCCTATTACAAAAGTTGAAAGCTGTTGGTATATCAGGAAATTTACTATCTTGGATGGGAAGCTACCTGTTAAATCGTAACCAATTTGTTCAAGTTAATGAAGTGAAATCAGACACTAGCTCTATCAAGTTTGGAGTACCACAAGGGTCAATCTTAGGACCCAAACTGTTCTCCCTTTATGTCAATGACTTTCCTGAATCTGTAACCTCGGGAGAACTTTATATGTTTGCTGATGATACTACCATATTTACCATAAGTGATAATATTGATACTATAATTAAGGCCATGCAAGTTATACTAGATCAAGTTCTTAGTTGGTGTGGTGCTAACAGATTGATTGCTCATGAAACTAAGTCAGAAGCCTTATTATTATCTAAACAAAGATTCATTGGTCCATTGTTGCCTTTGAAGTATGGTGAAAAATTTATTGAATTAAAATCATCATGTAAATGTCTAGGAGTAACTATAGACAGTAATCTTTCTTGGCAAGAACACACTAAAAGTCTGTTAAAATCTTTTAATAAGAAAATAGCAGTCCTCAGAAGAATTAAATTCTTGCCATCATCCATTCTACAGACCATTTATTTTAGGACTGTACTTCCAAGTGTCTTATACGGAATACTAGTATGGGGTTCCTGCTCACCTGCACTAATGGATGATCTTGAGCGTGCTCATATACGAGCTTCTAAACTTATTTTTAAACTTTCAAGGAATTCGAATGCTGATCAATTAAATAAATTGAAAGGCTGGAACAATTTATCATTTTACTATACTAAGAGACTGTTAGTAGAAGCGTATAAATCCTACTATAGATGCAATACCAATGTTTTAAATGATCTAGTAATGTTAAAACAATCATCTCACTGCCTGAGGAAATCAATGAATATTGAATTTCCAAGTCCTAAATCAGAAATTGGCAGGCTGACTTTTAAGCATAGAGCTGCCATTGCTTGGAACTCACTTCCTGATTCGATCAAAAAGTCTTCTAGCTTAGAATGTTTTAAAAAAAGACTTAGATCTAGCAAGGACTTAATTAATTCTATAAGCTATAATAAGGAATCTTCCATGATAAGAAATAGGAATGAGGAATTTCTTTATTAATCTTATTTATATTTGTATTGTTATTATTATTTATTATTTAACTTCTGTTGATTTTCTATTTATTCACATGTATATACTTTAGTTTTTAACAAGTAGATAGGCAGGTCCACATCAGGACTTCAGTCTTGCGTATTCTGTAACCTGCGTTACCAAATAAACTATGTATGTATGTATGTAAAAGGACTAGTAAGAACAGAAAAGGACTAATAAGGACAGAAATGGACATAAGAGGACGGAAAAGGACTAGCAAAGACAGAAAAGGACTAGTAAGGACAGGAAAAGACTAGTAAGGACACAAAAGGACTAGTTAGGACAGAAAAGGACTAATAAGGACAAAAATGGACTAATAAGGACATAAAAGGACGGAAAAGGACTAGTAAGGACAGAAATGGACTAATGAGGACAGAAATGAACTAATGAGGACATAAGAGGACGGAAAAGGACTAGTAAGGACGGAAAAGGACTAGTAAGGCTACTAAAGGACTAGTAAGGACACAAAAGGACTAATATGGACCTAAAAGGACTAGTAAGGACAGAAAAGGACTAGTAAGGACATAAAAGGACTAGTAAGGACAGAAAAGGACTAAAAAGGACAGAAATGGACTAATGAGGACATAAAAGGACGGAAAAGGACTATAAGTAAGGATACTAAAGGACTAGTAAGGACACAAAAGGACTAACATGGACCTAGAAGGACTAGTAAGGACAGAAAAGGGTTAGGACTAGTAAGGACACAAAAGGACTAATATGGACCTAAAAGGACTAGTAAGGACAGAAAAGGACTAAAAAGGACAGAAATTGACTAATGAGGACATAAAAGGACACAAAGGACAAGCAAGGAGTAGACGGTACAGAAAAGACGAGTTTTGAGAAATGCATACTACTTACAAGACATTGTACACACTGTTCATTTAATTTATGTTGCACGACTATATGGTGTGCTAGCATGTAGTACTTGCCTGCTTCAGCTCATTCTCGTCCCCAGAGCCACTCGGCTTAATTTGTAACCGACCAGTGGCTCTTCGACGCAATGGAAAATACGAAAGAACTTAAGGGGCGTGGGTTTTTTTGACTGTTGGTCTTTACGCCACGCCCTATTCGTCTGTTAAGAATCGGGTAAATAACTTGATTGGTTGATTAGTGTTTTGTTTTTGTTGACAAATGTGACAAATCTGACTAAAAAAATCAAACAAACTGTATACGTTTGATGCGGCCAAAGTAAATTGAGTAAACAAAACCACTTACAATAACTGTCAATCATCAGGAAAACACAACTAAAATTGTTACAAGGAAATGGATTACAGGATTTCAATCAAAATATAAAAAAGAACAAAAATTTTTAAAAAAATGCCTGTGCGGAAGGAAGAGAAAATAAAACCCACCGCGCACAGGATTTCACTTCCTAAAGCAAAATTTTGTGCAAAAAGAAAGACAATCCATCTGTCTTGAGAGCAGGTTCCCAATGCTACGATCCACTCGTGTCATTCAACTGGGGAAATTATTAACCAAATGGAAAGAAAGAGCACCAGACGTGTTGGATGTTGCTACTGCCATTGCTGTACCCGAGAATAATTGCCTTTCCCAACCCAGAAAAGCAGATGCTGTTGTACCCTCTTTGTGTACCGCTGTCAGTACTCTTCTAAACACAAGAAATGGCGAACTGAGTATTGTGCAGAATTGGTTTCCACTGTTCTGGGACTTGGAGGATGTAGTAAAATGGTAGTTGAAATTGGTAATTTTAAACTAAGATAGTTTGCAGTTCTCTTACTTCATTTTTCAGCCTGGTGCTGAGGTCCATAGTGAAAGAAAAAAAGAGTTTGCAAGGATTTGGTGGACATTCCCAAAAATGGTCACGAGTAATTTTACGAAATGACATGTGAAACACTCAGAGGAAGGATGGGAGAAGGGGGGGAGGGAATAGAAAGGGATGAGGGATTTTAATTTGTGAATATTATCATAAGGATAAACTTTTTTCCGTCAAAACGGAAGCATTTCATGATATGCACTAGTTTGAGATACCTTATATATGACATACACTAGTTATGTGATTAGATCAGTATAATCCTTGTTTCAGATTTTATTGTCCTTTGTTGTAAAAACCTAATCCTTCATTACCCATTTACATACCCAAAAACAAGGAAAGTAAAATTTAAACTATGGATGAGTAAAGTACAAAATCTATGTATCAGCCAGATATCTTACGTGAATTAGGCGGTGTATTAGCCATGCATTAGGGTCATCTATGCATTTGTCACCATTAGGAACAGTGACAGCTTTTTGGATTTTGTAAGATATTAAATCTTTGCTAACACATTCTTTTTCTAGACTTTCCAGAGACTAAATAAACTGGGCATTTGCCAGTCCAGTGATTGCTGGCTGCGAATTATGGAGGATGTTGGTGGAAACCTTGGAGGAATAATTGAAGACCTGATGAGCAAGGGCTGGCAACCCAGAGTTGTTTATGACAATTTTGATTTCCGTATTACACCTGGGCAACTCACAAAAGACCACCAAAACACTGATAACCATTGGATATCCCAGTTCATCACATTTGACCGCATAGACGGTAGTGGTTTAGACAACAGCAAGCCTATTGGTGATCTCAGTGTATTCGATATCTTCGGTTACCTCATGAATGACAATGAGAGGGCCAAATTAAGATCTGATTACACAATTCTTGCAACCAGAGTCTTGGTGAAATTCATTCCCTGGTTGGAGCCCCTCAAGGAATGTTTAGGCCATATCAAGCATAAGCACTCAACAGAGATGGCCAGAAAATCAGTTGTGATTGGCCTTCCAGTGGTTCCCTTTAACCAAAACAAACATGCTGATGTTATAAAATACCTGGAATGGCTACAGAACTTCTTATAAGAGATTACAGCAGCCAATAATCCCAACCAAGATGGCACTGATGAACAAGACAACACTGGGGAACATCTCATTCAGTTACCTATTGGAGATCTTTTGGGCCGAGAGAGGATCACTGGAGCAAAGAAACTCAGGAAAGGGTGCGACAAGTCATCTGAGAGATTCAATAACATGTGTGAAGTGGCTGAGTACTGGCACGCCAAGCGAGCATTTCTTGGTGTAACATTTTTTTGTGTCATAAATGACGTATTATAATTCTAGCTACACGTGTGTACTATAATACTTAAACCTACTAGCCACTGAAGTTCTACTATTTAAACAGAGTCAATATTCCAAAATAAAGGGAGGACTTAATCGAGTTCTGTTTAGTAACAGTATGAATAGCAACTTAATTGTACTCAAAGTATTCAACATTCATGCCTGCATTTCAAAGAACACTTATATGTACTTTGAGGTTCCAAAGTACACATAAGTTTTGTAACGTAGGCAAAAAAAGGAAAAAAAATGAAGTACAGCAAATTATTATCATCATAATTATCACTATCATTATCAGAGTTTAAACTATTACATTCTTCATTTTGCAGGTGCATTTTGAATGCACACAACAGTATATTTCTTTGTTTCCTGGTTATTACCTCAAAATAATAAAAATAATAATTTCAACTGATTTTAGTTTATACTGCTATCATCATCATCCCTTATCAAGTATTAATCTAACCATTATTGTCTGATATACATCTATTTCAAATGTACTCATTATGGGGATGCTATGCAGAAATAATGCTGCAGTTGTTTCTAACAATTCGGTGTAAGTAAATAAATTCATAATTATTGTGAAACTGAAGGGAAAGACTATCAAATGTAGCTTGGTTATATCTTTCAGTCTATTGGGTGTACTTGGTTGTATTACATATTAATAATAGTTCTATACTTTTTCAATAGGTTGCATGGGAACACCTATACAAAACAGATTCTGGTAGAGATATTGGCACCCTATTTTATTTTAGAAATCTCTTTGGCCGTAACAATGTGAAGAGCAAAGTTAAAGATGGCTTTGCACCAGCCCAGGATTTGTTCCTTCAGGTATTAAATGCATACCTTGTTGCAGCATTTATGCACTGGTCTGGGATGGCAGAAATCCACTCCAGGCCAACAAACGTGAGCACACTTCCTTCAAATGGAAACTGTGGCAAACAGGAGAAGCTGATTTACCTCAATAATGTCATTGGTTCTTTTGTTGACAGCTTCTGCTTGAAGCTGCCAAATGCAAAGGAAGCGATTGACAGGCAAAGGGAGAAGCAACAAGAACCCGCGTTGATCATGACAATTCTTTTTCTACATGGTCTGCAGCCAGCATTGCATCAGGTTTATACATAATTATTTTCACTGTAGCTGACATGAACTTTGATTATTTTCATTGTATTTTCAAAAATTATTTTTCGTGATCGAGTCAAAATAGCATAACCAGCACATGCAGCAGTTTAACTTATAACACTACAAAGTGTAACTCCACAATATTTTCTGTTGGTACAGTCATTTCTAAACTAAAATAAGTATTACTAATTATAAATGCAGCTGACCGTAACTATCATTTAGTATAATGTGACCCCCAAGCATTTTGGCACTGTCTTAAAACTTTGTTTCACATTCACCAACACTGGTGTTTAAACGACACTGTAACTGGTTTATCACTGCCAACAGCTGGTTTATTTTTATGATTACACGATCCATTGTGTTTCTACTTAAGGGAAGCAGCGAAAGTGGCTATTCGTTTGAGGCACTGGGCACATGCATAAGTCCCACGGCTACCACAGGATACATCAATGTTCAAATTGTAAAATTGCTTAAAAACAGTGCAACATTGGCAGACAGACTTCAGCCCCTGATGGAAGGCCACACCGTAGCTTGGCCACAAAATTTAGTTGCCTTGTACAAGACATCTGAAGAAACAGCTCAGAATGCTAACAATTCAAAAGGTGCCTTTGCTTTTACACATTCAGTTAGTAATTTACAAAAGAAATTTAATATTTTGTAAAAATGTACTAGAAAACTTAATTTTAAATTTTGCCTTATTTTAATTTATTAGTGACTTTATCGCCATTTATCGTTCTTTCAAAATTGAAAACATGATCACCGGTAATAAGTTCAGACTTTAGCCTAGATGAACAGAGCTCTATATTCATTTTTATGTTCATTAACAGGACTCTAGAAAATTAACTTGAATTCCCACATGTCCTTTGGGCGAGGAGCTCTCACATTCTGCTTGGGACACTTTTTGCTTATCTTGCTTACCTTAATGATGTTGTTAGAGGATGACTTGTCTGGATCCTTGCCAAAACAGGACTTTTTTCAAGCCCTGCATTAGGGAGGCAGGTAACCATAATCTCCATAACCACATTTAAGTCTTGAACAAAAAGGGAATAAATTTGTAATGGCAATGAACAATCTTTATTGTTAGCATTTAATAAAATCACTTCTTTTCATGCAGAACAGAACAATGTTGTTAACCCTGCAAAGGATGACCACCTGAAGAACTATGCTCTTTGGATTATTCAAATGGGAATGATGCTATCGCAAATGAATGATACAGAAAAGGAAGGGGATGGGGAGAGAGCTATCATCAAAAGCAAAGTGCTCTTATTGATGTTTAGGTCAACTGTCAGAAGTAAGAAATATGAGTTTGAGATGCTACGGCTGATAAGCAAAGTAAAGTGCCAGTTCACCCAGAAAATGGCTGAAAAAACCATCCATGGACGTTTTGTCAACTGGAAAGGTACTTGATGTTAGGGGTGAAGAGAGACATAGTATTATTTGGATCTCTGAGAGGACAGCTAACAATTTGCAAAGCCACCACTAGCTTTCCTGTGAAATAAATTCTAATAAATATCAATGAAGAGTGAAATTCCCTACAGGTCATGTGTCAATACCCAGATTTGGGTAGTGCTAGCAAAATGGTCATACTGAAAGGGAAATTTGCTTCAGCAAATCAGAACCGCCACTCAGATCTGGGTATTGAAACATCATCTGATCAGTATGGAATTTTGGTGTTAACCCCTTAGGTGACAAATTACTTACTCCTTAATTTTGGCGCGAAATTTCAGCGTTGATTTATAATTTCACATATGAAATTACAAAATTGCCATGGCAACATTCTGTACCATGCTTCACATATTATAGAAACCATAAGGTCCACTCTCGACTTCAGAAACTAGCTCATACTGAATAATAACTTTCACAATTAGCTATGAGGGCTGCAATCCAGTTATGATGATGATAATAACAATAATAATAATACTATTAGAAACACAGTGTCATGGACTGAACACTCATAATAATAACAATACCCTAAATCCTCTATCAAGCCACCCTGGAGAAGGAGGGGATCGAGGGGGGTATTTAATTTTTTAATTTAGAAAAAAGGATGGTATCTGCAGTTCTGCCATGAGGCATGCACCATAATAACCGTGATAATATTAATATGTAAACACACATGTACATCAGCAGTCACTTAAATTTCAATTATTTGGCAGCTCCATCTATGGAATGTTCCATGCTGATAACCCTTATAAAACTGATAATTGAAAATCGGATTGACTTCACTTTTGATAATTGTTTGCCCCGAGGTGGTGAAGGCAACAATGTCGCAAATGACCTCAAAGAAGAACATTTTGTGCAATTTGACAAAAAACTACTGAAGGGAATGGTTGCGCAGAAAACTTTAAAGGCTGTAGAACGGTCAACTTCTGCTAGTACTAGTCTAAGGAAAATCATTGAAAATTTTGATGAAAAGACAGGGGTGCATCCGCCATCAACTGCTCACACCTACCAGAATGCAGAGAAAGACCAAAAAGAGATGATTGCAACAGTTTGTGGCCTGAAGCCCTTTCAAGAAGTACCTGGTAGATGCCATTCATCGTTTCCACATATGCCAAGAAGTCCTTTTGACCTGGTTGATATTAGAATACTGGAACAGTGGTTGACAACCAGTAAGCAGAAGTTGAGCAAGGACCCCGACACACCCTGGGATGATGAGGAATCTGGCTCAGAAGATACAGAAACAGATGATGATTAATCTGACAAAACAAAACAAAACAAAACAAAAGAAATTATTTAAAAAGCTTTTTCACTAACAGCATTTTTAAGGAAACACAAAATAGTTGAAAGCAATAATGAACAGTATAATAGCTTTAATTCAATGAACCTATATACTTTGAACTAACCTTGGACCTTTCCTGTTGCCTGCCTTCATCCTTTGCCTGTGTTTCTTTAACATTTTAGCAAATATATACTAAGTTTCTATAGTGCAATAATTTAGCGCACTGTGCATGAATAACTTAAAAACATTCCTTTGCCATCCCATCATAACTAGAGAGTATTTTCACAGGAGGTCGATCATGTCTGCCAGTTGTGTCCTAAAACAATGAAATGGCAGAAATGCTGGTGTCTCTAACAAGTACTGTGGTAACTACCACTTTTTCTTAATCTAATTTCCCCTTTTTCTTAATCTTCTTAATCTTCTAATCTATTTTTTTAAATAAATTTGCATAGCTTCTTGTCACGAGTGAAACGGCCCTATACTAACAGTGAAATGAAATTACCAGTAATTGGGTGTGGTTTTAAGGGCATCATGGTTGAAAATAAAAATTTAATCCAGAGCTTTTTTCTTGAAGTATGAACACTAGACATAGATAATAATTTATGGCTTGGCCTATAATTTACACTGAATGAACTTAACTTGACTAGCAGTTATGCAAGAAATAGTGGGATTGGCGAAGAGATGAGGATGGAAAATGGCAATCATTAAAAATTATTTTATAGAATTGTTATCAAAATACATCACCCAAAAAGATAAACACAAAAAAATTTACATCACAAATTTCATATCTCTAGTCAAACCAATCTGATTATGATTTATTTCAACTACACTTCTTATTCCTTAGTTGACAACTAATTACAATGAAATTTGTCTAGTGTTACACAAAAACCTATTTGTAGCTGTTCTTCATAACTACCAGTACATACAATTCTCGAAACTGATCATTACTCAACACCTTAGCACCCTTTGTTATTCCTCTCTTTGGAATTTCAAGGAACAGTAATTTACTGAAAGACGCCATTCTGAGATTTGGTGACTATGTGACTTGTATTCTTAAATGTTATATACCCCGGCTGTTAATGGTAAGTTTTGAGTTATATGTTACAATAACAAAACAAAAATCCATAAATAACAGAATACTTCACAAAACAGAGTATATGTATGTATTTAGATACTTTATGAGTGCACAAATCAAGTGTTTCCACTATAATTTATGTGCAACAATTAGAAAATTTGCACATACGTTTACAGTTATCACAGCATTTATGACCACAACATTCACTTGCTACTGAAGCACCAAAATGACGAAGAATAATCTCTCGTCTACAAGAATTTGCAGTCACATACTGTCGCATAATAGGCTCAAGAGCTCTTTTTGCTTTGCTTAATTAAAATAAACTGTTGAAATTGCTTGACTTCCCTTTCTCCCTGTACGTCCAGTTTCCTGGAAAAATTCTTCCATGGTGTATGGGACACCAATATGCATAACTCTTTCAACAGTTGGTGCATCAATTCCAATACCAAATGGAACAGTTACAAATAGCACTCGTGCAGTGGCAGTTCCTGACACTAAATTCTTAACTAAACCATCACGGTACTATTCAGGGTACTGGGCATGGTATTGTGCAAAAAGTCGATTACTAAAAATTGAAGGAGACCCAGCTGGATAAAACTGATGTGGACCAAGCTCCTGTTCAAAGTAGCTATAGCATTCACCACAAGTTTCAAGACTGCCATAGACAATGGTGAGAGGCATTGCAAGTAATTTTTCCTTGAACTCTAAGGCCAAGGGCTCTATGATTGTAATCAATTTCTCATCGCCCCGGTTACCTCGTGGATGGACTTCATAAAATATATCTTCCCTGTCTGGGTTTTCTTCCACATTTAAAACATTCTGCATCCCTAGACTTCTTTTTATTTCATTCCGGTAATGTGCTGTGGCAGTGGCTGTCATGGCCAGAATTGGTGTGTGGGGCATAAAAGTGCCCAAAAGATTTAGTTTGGTATACGCCGGTTGAAAATCTTTCCTAAAAGTGAAGGGAGACATTGACATTTACATTGGCTACAAAAACACACTCAACAGCAGTGAGTTAGTACTAAATATACTTTGTGTATTAATCCTTATAGAGGTAGTTGGGTATTCTAGACTATATTGAAAATGTATGTAACCTATAATGGTTATATTTTTAGATCACCTATTTAGCACTTCAATTGTAAAATGCAATTAAACATTTATGTTTTCCAAACCATGTAGAT